GGGTGTTGAGAGACAAAGAACGGAATAAATTTAAAAACAAAAATATTATTATAATGTCTCTCCAGAGCGATCCTAATCCAAGACGCGCGGACGCGTTGTTACACTATTGCGATCGTGATAACTTATGATAATTACGAAGATCTGAACGTTAATTATCATTCTCTGTCTCCGTGAAATATCGCAGCGTCAAATTAATTGAATCGAATGATCTCTTAATAATTCATGTGGAAGCAATACAGTGTAAATAATGTGTTACATATCTCCCCCTCTTCCCTTCTTTTTTTTTCTCTCCTTTTAGCGATGTGTAAATTGCACGAGGTACCTAAGGTAGTGTAGTGACGTAAGTGAGAGATTTTTATTTTTGGCGTGGCCGCAATAATTCTCCATCATCGATCTCTCCTTTCCGTTGACAAACACTCATCCTTAACACTGATCATCTCCCGATGGCTCTTTTTTTTCGCACCAACGATATTTTATATATTTATATATATATATATATATTATATATATACTCGTGGGATGCAATGTGTTGATTACGTATCTACAGTAAGGTTTACACGAATATCTCGTATGTCCTGTCGTCTAAGCGCAATCTCTCTAATCAACCCAAATGTATCTGACGGGTGTCTCACGCGAACACGTCGCGATTCACCTGCGTGTTACACGGCTCTTCTGGCACTTTCTTCTCCTCCCTCGCGACCTCGTTGCACCGAGCATATCTTGGATAACTCCGCGCATAAAGCACCGATAAAGTGTTCCGTTTCACGCTTCATGTAATCACTCTAAAACTCTTAGAGTGAATCTCATTCTGAAGAGTGAATTCTCAAAGATTGAAAATTGAGTCATCTTTTATCAAGATTTTTTTGTTAAAAGTAGCTCAATTTTCACTCTTTATGGAGTAAGATTCCACTTCAAAGAATTTGGAGTCATTTTATATGCTACTTGGGTATGCTACTTTAATATGCGGTGAACAATAAGGATAAAATGATACATTATGCGCGAAACGGAACGCACTCAATGAGATATAACAACGCGATTTTCTTTTTATTGTAGTCGTGGCTACAATACATACTTATGTTGTGGCGCGTACATACTTATGGCGCAAAAAGCTAAGTTATCCATGATGAACTGAAAGCCGACGCAACGCTTGTGGCTCCCTTTCGATTCATCTACACGTCGATCAAGATTGCTATAGTCTTCCGTCTCCTCGAAATCGTTAGATCGACCACGTGTCAAAGATTGCTCACGTGAACGGTAACTACACATTGTCGTTCGCGATTTAACTATTCGGGATGGCGTATGTACCCCGTAATTCCGGTGAAATGCAACGTACGCACGATATCGAGGGATTGTCGGCTGTTAAGACTTCCTCATGCGGAAATTAATGTACGCGCGTTTGTCTAACGTCTATTCCCCCTAAGAGGACGCGATGGTTTTTCCTGCGCACATTACAACGACGGGTATGTGTGATTTTTGTACTTTCATTGGAATCTACTACAGATACGAAAGCGAATCTATGACACTTGATAATGTGATAAATTAAGTAATAAGGATAGAATTTACTCGCGAAATTGAACATGATTGGCAATATTATAAATTAAATTTAAAAATTTACACATTCTTGTCGTCTACAAAATAAAATTTGGGGGTATTTAGCTTTAAAGACATTTATAATTATATTTGCCCTATTCTTTGTCGATAGCTTTGTCATCTTCACGAATATTTGTTAACTTCTTAAGCGATTACGCTCTATTACAACATATTGAAAAACATATTAAATTCGTATGAGACAACTAAACTGCAATTTCTGATATATGTTGATTATGGCATAAATGCGTATCAAAAATCGAAAAAGTTCGCAAATATTAATATTCACGTAGCGAGGGCGCATGAAAAATGCGTCGACATAATGATTTAGAAATCGCAAAGACGTACCGTGACAGAAATTCTTGATAAAAAAAGCTATCGCTTAAGGCTTAAAAAGAACCCTCATGTATAGAGATTGTTCCTCAAATCTGTTCTTCATCTGTATTACAAAAAAAGTGAAATATTTTTCTCAGTTCTTTTGTTTTTTTTATATGATTGCCTTATGATTTGCGCACTTACGTAAACATTTGGATAAAGAGTGTTTTCGTACAACGCACAATGACGTATTTGCTTTATCTCTCTTTAATGATAACTAAAATCGCTGTGAACGCGAGATGAAAGTACTCGGGAATCTCGCGTTGTATTCGATAACAAATCGACGCGATAATTGCCTCGTTGATTTAATCATTAATTCGTCCGTCGCGCAAATTTTGTCGCTTGCGTAGACGAGATATCAATCGCAGTGCTAATTTTTTCGAGAAGTTCCGCGCACCGTATATCTCAATGTTTTTCTCGATCGCGCAAGGACAGCGCTCGTTCGTCCTCCAAAGGGGGGGTAGATGGATAAACGTGATTAATCACATGCAAATGATATAATTAAAGCGGGTCTATCGGCCGACTTTTCGTGACCTAGCATTCCTGGTTCAGGTTCTCGTCCGAGGCTGGCAGGCCGTTCTTGCCGGTGATCGCGCCGGAGGGCACGGGGCTCTGCGGGCACAAGACACGATATCAGGATTAAGCCTGCAGCATCCTTGCGAACTGAATAAATCGACTGATGCCCGTTTCTATCAATGCAGGTTAATTTTAATCTCGGTT